ACATAAATTGGGATTGCCCACTATACTCCATATCATTTCTTATTAGTTGAGTTGGATTTCGAAGAGAGTTAAGATGAAGATTGATCTGTAGTGTCATTTGAAGTTTATAAAAAAATAAAAATCAATGAGATGTTATACTTGGTGGGTCCATGTGACATTTGTCAAGATATCTTTGGCAGCTCGTATCTACATAAAAATGATGATGTCAACTTACAAATGATGCAACAACAGGATAAGCATGTAGACTTATCAATACAGTTAGAAATCCTGTTTGTTGTTGGTTTGGCTTGTTGAAGAAGGAGAAGTCATGATCTCTTTACCACGGTTAAAGAAAGTAACATGTATATGCAAAAGCTGATCAAGAACCAAGATGCATCTCCAACACATTGCTGCTAAATTTGCCAATTTACTAAAACTAAGTGAAGGAAATGAAGGATTGGTCGAGATTGCATAGTTGCACAATGGTGTACTTTTAGCTACACGAAGACTTCCAATAGGTGGAAAAAATTTTTCTTTCAAAAAGCAATTGAGTAAGAGCTGTCGAAAGTGTAGAAACCTCTATTATAGATGGAGCTTGAAGAGCTGCCCTCTGATACGTCTGTGGACCCCACCTCATTTCAAGAGCAAAAAGGCTCGTGTTTTGTGGGTCCTAGCACCTCATTACAGACCTATAGGAGATCATTGGAGGAAATATGAGGTGCATTTATGGTGGGATTAGGGCTGATTTTAAGGGGGAAAGTTTGTATGTGGGAGGGATTATGTGAATAATTTTCTGAATTAGTTTTTCTTAGGTGATTTTGGGTTTCTAGTTGCTGATAGGAAATTTGGGGAGAGATGATTCACCTCTAGAACACTGAATCAATTCTATCTTGTGTTTCTTTGATTGAAGATTATTATTTCAGCTTTATTAGTGTTGTTCTTGCATACCATTGCTGTTTTTTCTTGATTTTGGTGCTGTTTTCACTGTTTAGTGCTGATTTCGTTCTAGTGGCTGTTTTGGGTGCTGATTTGATCTCCAAAACATATCATCTTCTAACTAATTTGAGGAAGAAAATGATAAAAAGCCAGGGCCTCATCCATTTTGGCAAACTCAAAAGAGGAGAATTACTATAGAACCAAGTCAAATCAGGCAACACATCCAACATAGGGCTTTTGATATTCTTAGGAGTCTCTAAGAGATAAAAAAAACTCCAATGATTCAATGATTTTGGAGGCTTTTTAAGTTTTAAAAGGAAGTATTTAATATCTCTTAGGAACTTCCTGTAAGATCGCCAAACAAATCAAAGAGGTATTGCTGGGAGGCTAGAAAGTCAGTCTTCCCCCAACTGAAGCTATGATTTCACAAGATTGATACCCTCCATAAAGGGGAACTCGTGATTTGTAGATCATATCTAATAGATAATCAGACAAATCATCTATGATTATTATTTGGGCATCTTATCATGGAAATATTAAAGAGATCATGCTTATTGAAGTTTTAACTGTTCAATTGTTCTGTGAGAATTGCCAATGAGTTCTATTTCTGTTGGCAATAGTTGTGTATTGATTTACTACCTTTGCCCCTTTTTTTGTACTTCTGGTTTTGTCTATGAATTGATTTGCATCTATAAGATTCCTGTAATAACCAAGCTTAGCATTTTATATTTATTTCATTTCATTTATTTTACTATCTGGTTTTTTTTTTTTTTTCATCAAATGCCAGGCTTCATTAGATACTCAATATAGATCTTTTAGTTCACAGCTCACTTACCATGAATTAAATATTTCTTACTAATTGTTTGTTTTGTGCAGCCATATTGGCGGATGAAATGGGGCTTGGTAAGACTGTGCAGGTAAATTGGGCTTAAATATTGAAGAGAAATTTGGCTAGTTTTTTTCATTTGTATCCAAAATGTTTTGATTTTTGCCGTGTCTACAGGCAGTTACATACTTAACTTTGTTGAAGCACCTAAATGATGATCCTGGTCCCCATTTGATTGTATGCCCAGCTTCTGTTTTAGAGAATTGGGAGAGAGAATTGAAAAGATGGTGCCCAACATTTTCTGTTATCTTATTCCATGGAGCTGGAAGGGCGGTCTATTCAAAAGAATTAAGTTCTATGGGCAAAGCTGGTTTGCCACCACCTTTTAATGTAATGCTTTCATGTTACTCGCTTTTTGAAAGACGCAGGTTTGCAAATTCTTTTCTTATCATTATTTGCTATTGAAGTATTGGCTTGTCCTTAAATGCCCACCTACACTGCTTTTTCTCGCAGTTCACAGCAGAAAGATGACCGTAAGGTATTGAAACGGTGGCAATGGAGCTGCATAATTTTAGATGAAGCTCATGTTATGAAAGATAAAAATAGTTTTCGATGGAAAAATCTTATGTCAGTTGCAAAAGGTGCTCGACAACGTTTAATGTTGACCGGAACACCTCTTCAAAATGATTTGCATGTATATTCACCTTTGCTATTTTGTCTTTTTTATTCCTGCTAATGTTTATCTGTAGTAGTTATGTTATTTGAATTTTCTTATTGATTCTTCCATGCAAATGTACTCTTTTAGTTTTTCTTTCCACAAGCTTAAGTATTTATCATATGATGCATATCTTAGTGGTGCATGATGGGGGTAAGGGGAAAAGGTTCTATTACCTTTGTTATCATGGAGATTATTTGTAGACATTATACTATTTTTGTAAAAAGATAGTGGGACCCCCAAATCTATCAATCTTGGTTGGGAGTCTTGAGCACTTGAATTAATGGTTCTAATTGTTGGATTGAACCTCTTATAACTTTTAGATTGCAATCTATGCACCTCGCCTTTCTCTTCTAGCCGTTGACCTCTCTTGGGGATCATTTTCCTTTTTTTGTTTGTTAATTAGCTTTGATTTGTTTCCATTTTAAGGCTTTTGACAAAATCTATATATACTTCCACATTTTGTATAGAATCAAAGAATAAAATTCAAAGTAGTTTTTTTTTTCATATTTCTTTGTTTTGACACAATTTTAGAGTGAGGTTAGGGTATTATTCTCCCAACATTTATTCTCCTTTTCTTCCTCTTATTAAAGATTTTTCCTTATCTTCATTATATTTGATTTCTCTGACTTCCCTTTTTAGGAGTCAACTTTCATGAATGATGAAAATGAAACTAGGGAGAACTCCATGGGCTACAAGCCTCATATCGCTTGAATGGAATTAAATACTCAATGTGAATATTTTTCTAAAAGGAATGGGCAAGATCTATCACCTTGTGGACTATCCTCCGGAGCCAAAGGACCCAAAATTTGTACTTTGGGATGAATTTGATTCCATGATTTTTATACGGTTGTGAAATACCATGATGCATAAAATCAGTGGGTTGGTTATATTCTTATCTATTTCCAAAGAAGTTTGGGATGTTGTTAAGCAAACATACTCAAAAGTGAATCATGTTGCCCTTATCTATGAGATCAAACTAAGATCTCAATAGCCAAGCAAGGTGACTTTCTTGTTATTGAATACTTTAATGCAATAAAAGTTTCTTGGCTTGAATTGGGCATTACCAATATCTCAAGACGACATGTTGCGATAATGTAGTAATTCTCAAGAAAATTGTAAAAAGGGAAAAGGTGTTTAAGTTCCTTGTAGGACTCATACTACTTGCCGTGTTCTTTCATTTCCACACTTAATATTTAAGTCATATGGGAAAATGAGAAAATCATTATAGGCTAGGGCATCCATCTTTGAAAAACATGCAAATTATGTTTCCTTTACTTTTTTCAGGCGAAAACATGAAAAAATTTTCATTATGACATTTGTTAAATTGGTAAATATCATTGTGTTGTTTTTCCTAAGAGTGATTCTGGTTATTCTACTTATTTTTTTAATTGTTCACTTTGATATTTGCGGGCCTTTTAAAACCCCCAATATTTTTTGGAGCTACAAAATTTGTCATCTTCATAGATGATTGCTCTCATATGACATGAGTATATCTTTTCAAATAAAAATTTGATGTTTGTATTATATCTTTTAAAACTATGGGAGCGAGTTATGGAGCATAGGTTG